ATTTCAATTGAAGCAAATAATAAGCATTTGTTTTCTGGAATGAATTGAATAGATGCAGAAATTGTTTGATAATGAATGATTAGTTTTACTGAAGCGAATAAATATCTCGCATACATTTTAAAACTGGAATGTTATTCTTTAATTGATAGCATCAATTAAAGACGAATGAAATTCCGGTTTTAATTGAATACATTATTATATCGGGGAAGAATGATGTCATTTAAATTTTCTGGTGATTAGTTAATGGAAAAAAATTAGTTAGCTATTGAAAAATTAGTTTTATTGAGAGAATATAATTAATTTAAATGACCTTGAAGTTTTATTATTATGTAACTAACTAACTATACAAATAAATAATACTATTAATTGATCAAATGATTTGTTTGCGGAAAATCGCAAAATTATTACATTGTAATACACTAACTAATAACAATCATAAATCATATGTAATCGTCATCATTGTTTTTGAAGTTAATATTGATCACTGTTATTAAAAAAAAATAAAAAAATTAATGGCATCGATTAATAATAGATTTTTATCATTTGATAATATTACTTACTTGATTTACCTGAAAAAAATGATCCATTATGCTGGGATTTCATTTATCTAAAAAATGACCTATTACACATGCTAAGATAAATCAAATAATAATAATTGATTATCGATAAATGTAGACAACAAATCACTGATATAAATTCATTTTTGCACTTAGTCAGATAGATCTAACGGTTTACATATGTGACGGTGTCAATCAATAAGCAAACTTGTGACCTTGTGACACAACAACAGCTGCTTTCACTGATGCAAAGAAAGGGGACGAGACATAAATAAGCGCAACATTTGATATTTATGCTAATGTTTAGAACTCACTGAATCATCGATAAAAAGCGATTATGGTCCATCGTGCATATCTATCAAACCCTCATCAAATACAATATACTGAAATGTGCTGTATTTCCGATTAATTAATACCTTCCCAAAATATCATATCATATAAAAAATATGCTATAATTTCATTTCAATAATCAATTCTTGCCAATTCTGTATTTAGAATTTTTCGCATATTTCTCCATTTTGAATAACAGCAAAATATGAAACTTTTTAATTAATTTGCCTATCATAGCTATCACAGATATGGTATAATCGATAACCATCGAAAATCACCGGAATGCTTTTTTGAAGTATCCCAAATTCCGAAACGAAAATTTAATTTCAAAAATTTGGATAAAGCAACAATTCTGAACGCTCTGTGAGATGAAATAGGAATTAAATTTAAGGCAAATTAAAGAAATTGAATTTACAATGAAGAATTTGAAAATAACAGTAAATGGTAGTGGTTAATATGCGAAAAGTTACAATTGATAGAGATGAAATTAGCTCATTTAAATTAATTTAACATTAAAAATGTGTGTTATAATTTGAAATGATAGAAATGATTTCAATTTCACAAAAACTTTTTTGATTTTTCTTTTTTTTTGATCGGAAGAGGAAAAGCATGATGATTTAGGAAGATAATAAATAATGGAGCAAAATGGGAATAAGGAGAGCAAATTGATCAGACTGATAGTCATTTAATAATAAAGGTAATCTGATATAAGTTATCATTACGAACAAGTTTATCAATCATACTTATCATTACAAACAAATTTATCAAGCTATGCTATAGCAATTATTTATTTTATTTAGCATTTTTGGGTATTTGTTTAAAAATTGTTGTTTAAGTGTTGCGTATCTCTTTTAAGTATTAAATTTTATTTTTGAAAAAATCTTCAAAAGAAAAAAAATTAATTCATTGTCGATTTTTAACACTTAAAAGCGATAAATTTTCAATGGATTATGCGAATTGGAAATTGAGTATAATTAATTCAAGTATTCTTACAGAGAACAGCTATAAGATATTAATTTTAATTATTCTAATTCATCTGCTAGTTAAGCTATTCGTAGAGGCAATTAAATTATAAATTACAATTAAAATATGAAGAAGAATGAAGTCTCTATGAAATTTATATGAATGTTGCAGAATTCGGAAAAAATTGAACTAATATTTATCCACACTGCTCTTTCTTCCATTTCATAAATTCGTGATTGAAATTTCTCGCGAAATCTAACTGCAGCAATAGCTTAAAAGTAAAATTAAAAATTAAATAAATGATAAACATGAAGATTCCTTGCTGTTTTAACAACTATTGGACGGTGATCTGAAAAAGAATTGTCGTAGAGAGAAAAATGATTATCAGATAGGAATTGAATTTGGTTCAACAATAGATTAGTGCCAAAGTTCATTAGTGATAATTTAATCTTTCCTGATTCTTAGAAAACACAAAATCTGCTGTGTTTCCGGAATATCTCCTTTTATTCATATTATTTGATTGAATAAACAATGAAAAATTGTAGATTCCAGTTAAACTAACAGAAAGAATTTTAATTTTAACTCTTTGAATTTTTTATTAGATTGCAAAATCTCTTGTTCAATTTACTTTGCTATAACTTCATAAACAAATTTAGCCGAATAATTTGCCAAAGTCGATAATTGTGCTATATCAACAATTTTAAATTATACATTCTTATATAAACTTAAGATTAAAGAAGCAAAAACTTTGAAATGTATTGTAATTGTACTATTAAAAGGGAATTAGAAACGAGAACCGTTATGTGTTACAGAGAATCAAGAATTATTGCTATCACAAAAAGTAAATTTTTCAAAATAACAACTTCCGGACCGAAGAGCTGATTTGTTGGCATCGAAATCAAAATAAGTTTAAGCAAACTTCAAATGAATATGTAGAATAAATGAAATTTAAAAGTCTAAATTGAAAAGAAAAACATTCTGAAAAGATCAGAATGAGGATGGAAAGAGAATAAAAAATCAGTTTAAAATTGGCAAAAATGATTGTTTTTAATTTTAGCGCTATTCTATCGCTTAATGCTTTAGTGCAAAAGATAATTAATTGAAGTATTTATATTTTTACACAAATTTAATTTGGCAACAAGCATATATATCTGTATAATTTTTTACTAATAGTATAATCTGACTACAAATTACAAGTTTCAAAGTAACAAATCGAAATGTTTCTTAGCAACAGCATATTCACTATAATAATTGTGTATTAAATTATAAATACTAAATAATCTAAAATTCCATTACTTCAACCATTTAACTTTCTAAAAATGTTAATTTTTTGATTATTCTATTTTTGAGCATTCATTTGCATATTTATCATTAATATATTAGAATTATATTTTAAAAAACGATAAATTTTAAATCACTGCTAAATAATCCTAAATGATAATTTTGACATAAAATAAGCAATCTATTCATTTATTTCACTGATTTATTTTGTCACTGCTAATAATCATTTAAATGATAATGATGCAATTTTTTTTAAATCTATTGCATCAAAAATATTTCATTGATAAACTATTAATTAAATCTGAAATTCTCCTACAGTTCATATTGAAATGCATATAACATAGAAAAACGATAGGCTCATTTTGAAATGAATAAAAATGGATTAATTGATAAAATAATGTATTTTGCGTTAAATATCGTGACATGATTCATACGTTAAAACCATTTTAAATCAAATTCTATCCAATGTTTCAAAACAATTGAAAAAGTGAAAATTTGATCAATAGAATATGCAATAGACATTTGTAAATATTTCACTCATTTTTATACATTTTACACTTTTTTCATTTGTCAAAAAAAATTTATAAGTGAAAAAAAAATTGAAAGGCAGTTTTAGTTCAATTTAAAATTAACACAAATTGATGAATTAATTAGTTTTGGAATATATGAAATTTTTTAAGATTTCATGCTTATTATTTATGAGAAATATTTCTTAAAAAATGGAAAAGTTTCCTTTTTCTTTTCTTTCTTAAAAAAAAAAAGAAAGTCATTTTTTATTAAAATGAGTATCAAATGTTAATTGAAAGAGGAGAAAAAATGAAAATTGCATAAATTTAATCAAAATTTGGTACATTAACTGTACAATTGTTATGCCAATACATTAACGGTGGAATAATATCTTGCCGATTTTCCCATATTTTAATTAACGGATTGTATTGCAAAATAATCATCGAGCAACGCGGATAGTAATGTATCAAACGTTGCATATCACCCATCGTTCGTGGCATATCAGTTCGATTTGTCATCATTCTAAATTGTAATTAATTAAACGAGCAACAGAAAATATTTGATAGATTTAGCATAAAATAATTAAATACTGCAAAATTCAATTTATAATTTGATCATAAATGTAATAACATTATTACAATAATAGAAATTATTTACTGATGAATATTTTAGAGCGAATAAAGTATCTCATCGATTATAATTAATTACTATCCTCATTAAAATTCATCATTTCTTGAAATTTATTCATTGCAGTACTTTTTTTTTCCTATTCAAATTACTATCACTATTTTATTGTTATGCATTCCTTTTTGTTGTTCACTTCCGTTTGCTGATCATAAAATAATTTAAATGAAGCAGTTTACAAGCATTTTATAAAATAGTGATAATTCAAACGATACAAAAGTGAGCATCATTTGGTAACTTATTCACTTCTGAATGCATCAAAAATTTTCCTAAAAGTAAGTCATTCTTAGGTGATCGGATCATCTGATTAAAATGATAGAATGATATCATGAAGTTCTAAACTATTTCACTTACTGAAATTATAGAAATGATTTCTTTTAAAGATAAAAATTTCATTAAAAAAATAAGAGAAAAAAGAAAATCTTCAACCTATATAAGACATCGAGCATTGGTGCATGAGATATAATCAATATACCACCTTCTTGCTTTTGTTCCGATAAAATCCTATTTACCACTTTTTCCACCCTCATTTGTATATCACTTGGCCTTAGCTCCTAAATATGAACCTATGAAATGTTTTGTTACAAAAATTTGCAACAAATAATTTTCATAATAGTGTTATTACAACAATGAATTGAATAATTATCAAAGGTTAAAGTTTATTGCATTTAAGTAATAATATATTTAAAGCTATATATTTATACATATCAATTGATTTTTTTCTTTTAAAAAAAAAACTCACTCAAAATAAAATAACTGCGTATAGATTAATTTTTAATAGCTATAAAAATGTAATTAATTACCCATTGAAGTAAAGATTTAAGATCGTTAACTGACATGACCGGTATGTAATGCTCATCACAAACGTAACCATTTATTTGAAGATCTTGTGCGTTGAGAAATTTTGGAACCTAAAAAAATAATTTTGAAAAAAAAAAATTATTTATAAGTTTGTTTATAATTTTAATACTAAATATGTTAATAAAAAAATGATAATGTTAAAATAAAATAGCAATAAAAGAAAGAGAGAAAGAGAGAAAGAGAGAAAGAGAGAAAGAGAGAGAGAGAGAGAGAGAGAGAGAAAAAAAAAACCTTTCCAATAAAACTAAGCGGTTCGTAGAGAGCGGGTTCAATGCGTAATCTAAGTGGTTCACGACAATTCAATGTTGATATAATGGCAATTGCTGTCTGTAATATTTTCTGTCGCTCTAAATGTTATGCATTAAAAAAGGAGAGAGAAATATGATTTAAATATGAAATATGATTTAAATTTTTCTTTTAACTTTTACTAATTTAATCACCAAAGCAATATTTTTTTTCATTTAAAATAACAAATTTATCATGATGCTATAAGGAACTGTTGATATTTTTAAGTTGAAGAATTAATTAAATATGTATGTTTAGAATTGAGAACCTGTAAACATCTAAGTGAGGGTGAAGTATAAATGGTATGAATGTGGAAATTTTTTTCAGATAATGAACGACCAACAAGTTCAGCAGCAGCACGTCCAATTTGTGTTAACGGTGGATCATCAACATGATTTTCAAAGCCACCAGATCGCTTAATGGTCATTATTGCTTGTCTTGTGTCCATCTACAATGGATACGATACATAATAGTATATAAAAACTATTCGTGAGAAATTATAACATGTATTGCGGAAGAAAAATTAAATTTCAACATATCCGATCATTTACGTAGATATTGGTATTACTGATAACTGATAATCTGTTAGAATGTTAAGTCAAAATTTCAACATATCCGATCATTTATTTAGATACTGGTATTATTGATAATTAATAATCTGCTAGGATTTTAAGCCAAAATTTCAACATATCCGATCATTTACATAGATATTGGTATTACTGATAACTGATAATCTGTTAGGTCAAACCTTTGTAAGCTTATTGTGATTCAGGAATGCACCATTATTACGTAAACCACCAAAGTCAGCGGGTTCACCATTTCTGATCAAAAAAATCCGCCTCGTTGTGTCTCCCTAAAATAGCATCTTTCATTTGTTTTGAATAAAAATTTACACGTTTGAAATTGCGTAATTTTACATCAGTAATGTCAAAAATGTCAAAAAAAAATTAAAAAAAAACACAGATATTGTCAAAATAAAATTGTCAAAAATTAAATTTCAAAAAGTAATGTCAAAAATTATGTCAAAAAAAAAGTGTGTCAAAAATTAAAATACAGATATTTGTATAAGCTTATAAAATATCTGTATTTTAATTTTTGGGTGCTTATCAATTAGGGGCAAAATAATAACAGCTAAGTTACAGTAGTAAGTAACATATACAAGAAGCAAATGATGATATTAATAATATCATGATAAATAAGTAATATTACCGTGAATAAGTAAGAAGTGTTCATTTTATATAAAGCATGAAAAATTTGATATATTTTTATAAAAATGTCAACATGCAAAACGCGATGTGCAATAATTTTTCATTCCAAAGGTAGCAATGTTCATTTAAAATACATAACGCACATGACATTTTAAAATTTAACTTAAAGAATTTGCCTAAGTTTTTTTTATTGAAAAAGGAAAATATTCCTATTATTCATTATGCTTCTTTAAAGTCATATATTTGCCAGCATTTTTAAAATCTTCACTGCTAACTATTTTTAACTAAAACTATTAAAAAATGATAAAAAATTAATTGATATAGAAATATATGTTAAGTTTATATAAATGTAAAGTAAACAGATCTTTTAACTACTTCTCAATTTATATAAGTGAATGTATTATGTATATGAAAGAAAGTGAAATAGTTTAATAATTTGCAAAAATTTCATGTGAATCTTTTTATCCATTGAAAATCGTTTATCTTAGGAAAAGAATGAGGAAGTTAAAAATAATGGAAGATCACTAAAATTATATCGAATATTTTTTCTCATTTTCATGTCAGCCTAATTGATCTCAATATGTCCTTCGTTATAAAAATTTTAAAAAGATTGATCGATTGTTTGATTGCTACATATTTGGTGTTTCAAAAAAAGCTTTCTTAATGAAAAATTTATCAAATATAGTTAAAGGAGAAAAATTGATTGATATAAGCATGAAAAATAATAATTAGTTATTGTTCCATTCAAGAGGTTATGAGATAAAAGTTACGAGATGATGATCTGTTAATCAAACAGAAATGCAATACAAATGATACATTTACCAACAAGCAAAAATAATCAGTAACAATCGCATTATAAGTTAAATAATTTTTGCTATGAGATAAACAGTAATTAATTAATAGTAATAAACAGTAATTAATTTTGTATGAGTTTAGATTAAACGAATAGAATTTAAAGTGCTAAGTAATGATCACTGTGTCACACTTTCAATCAATGAGTCTTGAAAGAGTGACAAAGGAAGTTGTTATTTTTCAAGTTCGTTTTTTATCTTCTCCTGAAAATAAGCTGAAAACATTCAATCTACACAATTCTTTTTGTTTTCTTTTTTTAAACGGATTTTTTCTTCTAAAATAGCAAATGAAAAAACTTTTTTTTTGACACACTTCAAACTTTATCATAAAATGCTAAACTGCCAAAGCATAAACTGATATAGCAAAAAAACTTCCACGAGTATGAAAAAAAATTAAATAATTAATAACAGTTCTATCCAATCAACGTTTTGAAATTACAGGCCTATTTAGCAAGAGGAATGCCATCCAAAGTATAACAGCTGGAGGAAACCCGTTAGCCCATGTCATTCATTTTTGATAAAATTATTTCAAGGAAAGAAAAATCAATTTTGATTATAAACGGAAAAACAGCGGAAGATAGACACACACACACACACACACACACACACACACACACACACACACACACACACACACATACGCACACACACACACACACATACACATACATATATCGCATTTCCGAATTTTTTGCTTAAAAGCTTTAACTTGCTTGCAACTATCAACTCAGATGATATGAGAGGGACAAAATGCTCATAAAAACAAGCAAAGTGAAAAGGATCGGATGCTTGAAATTTGATTCCACTCAGAATGACGATATACGAGTCAGTAATTTCATTTTTGCATTTTATCTTCTCACATTCTGAAAGATCAAAGAGATTTATCACGTCAGATAACCTGTGAAATTTAATATTTTTGTTGAGAATGAATGTAAATATTCATTTTCAACGAAGCAAAAAAATT